ACTCCCAATTGGCAAGTCAGCCGAAGTGAGTAATGGCTGCCTACCTTGGAAAAAGATCATCAGACTGTCCCAGCCCCATCTGCCCCCAGATCACTTATCCACATGCCCTGTCTAGCTCTGAAGGTGGTTTGGATTTTGGCCATGATCTCTTCTGCCAAAGCTTCCTCTGGGACCCATGCTCTATATCACCCTCCTGTAATTCCTACAAACCCTGCCCTCATGGATTGCTGTTATGCTAAATCTTAGAATATGTCTTTAGGGATGAATGAGCATCAGAACTTACCTTCTTATTATTTCTGCGTTATGACATGGAAGGATTATATAATTAAATACAAGAACTGAATTCATTATACACTAGAAGAAAATCTAGGTGAGTGTTTAACCAATCTCAAAGTAGTGGAAGAAAACTATCAATAAAACATTAAAAAGCTAATGAATCAGGGTGAAGTAAATACACCTAATACGACTGACATAGGGTTATTATCCTTAATTAAAACTCAGTAACAAAAAATGAACCCCAATGCAGGAAGGGATAAACATATTTCAAGTAATTCACAGAAGAAATACAAACAACCAAAAAAACACATTAAAAGATAGTCCATTTTACTAGTAATCCAAAAAATGTGAATCAAAATGAGATCCCCTTTCATCTATCATAAATTGATTCATTCAACAAATATTTGTTGTGTGCTCACTAGGTTCTAAACACTATCAGTTTGGCAAAGATTTTTTTAAATGGTAATTATTTTAGGATTCAGTAAGACCAGTACCATCATATACTGTGGAAAACAATTTTACAATATGCATCAGGAACTATAAAATAGTTACCACCTTGTGACCCAGTAATTAAACTTTTTGGAATTTATCCTAAGGAAATAATCAGTGTGGCAGACAAAGATTAGTGTATGAAGATGTTAATAGTAGCATAGTTTGAGTACCATCATATACTGTGGAAAACAATTTTACAATATGCATCAGGAACTATAAAATAGTTATCACCTTGTGACCCAGTAATTAAACTTTTTGGAATTTATCCTAAGGAAATAATCAGTGTGGCAGACAAAGATTAGTGTTTGAAGATGTTAATAGTAGCATAGTTTGTAATATCCAATACATTAGAAACCTAAATGTCTAACAATAAGGAGTGATAAAATAAATTACGGTACATTCAAGTGATGAACAATTATGCAGACATTAAAATTATGTTTTCAAAGATCATTTAGTGATATGGGAAAATGCTCATAAAAATTTGTAAAGCCTGTATTTTGAAAATAATTTCATATAATCAATTAAAGTGATCCATTCCTTCTTGCTTTATGATCCAGGAGTTATTTTTCCTTTCCACAGGCTTGCTATCTAATACTTCTCTCCATCCTGCAAAGCATATAATATTTCTCCATAAATTTCTTACTTCACGTAGGCATCAAATGAAGGGTCTCAGACAAAAACAGGAATTGCCACATGGGATCAGAGAAACAAAATGGCTTAATGTACGTTAAATGTATACAAAGTACTGAACAATGCTCTAGATTGTGGGCACTGACTGTTTCTAGAGAAAGCAAGAATAAAGAGAAGAAACAGGAAGAAAGCAGAATATAAAAGACTAAGATTAAAGCTGACAGAAGGGGCAGAGAGGCATAAGAAGAGCATTGAGAAGACAGAAAGTCAAAAAGAACCACATAAGTGGATCTGAAGGAAATCCTCTGCGTGGCACTAGAACTTTAAAAATTCCCTTTTTGATGTATTTATAGTTTTATGTAGATCAGACAAGACACTTACAAGAAGCATTATTTGTTTCTTGTAACACCAACCACAGGAAGGGCCAAAAGGGATGTCATGGTAGAAAAAGCAGAACTACTTCACTGCCATGAAAAGAATAACAACAAAAATTGAAAGTCTAAGAGCACCAAAATAAACTGTCTGTACAAAAGATGATTAGAGTAAAACAAGGAAGAACTTGCATCTTGGTTTTGGAATTACTGAACTGTGCAAAGGCAGTGACCAATCCACACGATCATTTGCATCCAAGAGCCAAGTGATTCCACATCTACAATGAAAACAGCGAAATCTGGATTCAGCCAAAGCCCCGCAGCACAGCAACGAGGCCGCCTCTGAGGCAAAGCTTAATGACCACTGATCATAGGCATTTCTGCCTGGGCGTGGAAACTCTTTGGACAACAGGCTCATAAGGAACTTGGCGACCAAATATAATACCCAGTCTAGACAAAGCCAAAGGGGTCGCCGTGGAAAGACCAACAGGGTGCAGTAGGCCCCCTTCTGTGAGTCAAAGCCAATCATTTTTCATGAAAAATTGGTGGGGGAAGTCACCCTACAGAGAACACATTTATAAGGCGGCAAGGTAACAACTCCTCGTGTCGCTATCATAAAACAGGCAGACAACTGCCTCACTCTACACTGTCAGTTACATACCACTGGTCCACATATTTTTCCATTTCTCTGCCCTCTTTGAGGGACCCATAGGGATTCTCACTTCATAGTTACACTCTTACAATTGAATCACATGGCTTAAAGTATTCAGCATTGCAGAATCTCCTTCTTGCTTTCCTCAGCCTGACATGCTTCATTTATGTACCTCAACACTGCACCTTTGCTGCTCTGCAAACCACTGCTTTTCCAGCGTTCTGTTTTGGGGAAGTTAAAAAACCCTCAATATATCCACTCAAGCCATTCTCACATCCATTGTTTCCTCTCTTCCATTCAGCATGTTTTTATCCTCTTGTTATTTTTTTACTACCTCTGAATTTCCACTTCCTGGACAATTCTACCATCATCTTTGACTACATCTATGCTCCTTTTCAAGCATTCTCATGAATGCAAATTCATCAAAATTGTTGACCTTTACACCATCTTCATTTTTATCTTCTTTTGTATGTAGGTTGCTTTATTATTCTTTTTTTGTATAATTATCTTTCAACCTCTGACCAGCACTTGTGGGTTTTTAAAATTTTATTATTTTATTTTTTACATAGCACTTTTTTATTGGTTATGAATATTCATGAGATACAAAGCTGATTGTCACCACTCATGCCTAAGATGTGATAGCCAGATCCATGCTGGCAGCTTGCTCATTACTACACATTGTGATTGTACCCCGTGTCCCCCACCCAATTACCCTGACCCCTCTCCCCAGGCCCCTTTTCCCACTCCACTTTGTATCCCTAGGTACGCTCTCTCTTTCTCTGCAAGTCCAATACACTCCTGTGGTCTTTCCTTCCTTCTTTCTCTCTTAGCTCCCACTTATGAGTGAGTACATGCCTTTCTCCATTCTTCTCAACATGCAACTTAGCCTTTTTAAAAAACGTGTACTCTTGACTATATTTAGCCTGCTGATAACTGAGCTGACCTAACAGAAGCCTTCTTGACTTTGACATTTTCATTGTTACCTCTAATATATGGGTAATTTGAGATTGCTTTTTTAAACTTCTTCATGAATGTGGGGTGATCTGGCTCAAATGTCTGTCACTCCGCTGGTTCCAGAGCAAATGTAGCCGGTCTGGTTGTTCACTTCCCACTTAACAGCTACCTGGTCAAGCCTTGTGCGTGAAGCTGCTCGCTTGTGCGGAGGGACCAACCTCCCAGACAGAGCAAGACTAGCTTTCAGTCAGGAAAATACAGGTGATTCTATTCCCCTGCTTCCTTACTCAAAGCTCATCACTGCTCACACTGCCCTAATCTTCCTCGCCTTTCCCCTCCATAATGCTATAGCTTCTAAGTACCTCCTTGACCTTGTACACGTACTGTGTCACCATGCTTCTGTGTTCGTGATAGTAGTCAATATGATTTTAATTCTCAGCCTGGGATTTTTTTTTTTTCTTTCCACTCAACATTCAATCTCTAGTCATTCTTTTTCTAGCTTGACTCAATTCCTGTCACCTGAATTCTCATTGTCTCTAAAATGACACCTTTTCTAAATCCTAACTTTCTGTTTTCTGTTTCCTTCCACTTGCCCTTCATTCTGGCTCTCAGTAAAATCTTCTCAATGAGCCAACTATATTATAAAACAATAGTAGCTTCTTTTGTTAGTATCTTTCAGAATCTGACTCCTCCCCTGAAGCTTTTGTAACAATCGTACTCAAGTTTACATGCATTAGAAGGTTGTACAAAGGGTAGAGAAGGGCACAAGAAATGTCCAAAGAGCACCATTTAAAAATAAATCTACTCAGAATCTGACATTATATCTATCAACGTTTATTCAAACAACTGCTAAGATGTTTGGGGAAGCAGGAGAAGGGAGAGGTAATCGATGGGAGAAAATGACTAGAAAGAAAGATGGTGAAAGTCTACAAAGTTTGAACTGTATTCTGTAAAAAAGAGGGAGCTACTAGAGACAGAATCAAACAGGCGTATGTACATTTAAAATTTTTAACTTCTAAATAAATCTGCAGTAAAAGATGCAAAGTTAAATTTGATCTTCATGTTAATGGAATTAAATTTATCGAATGACACTTATCAAGGACTCACTTATTAATAAGTTATAAAATGCAAACAGTTCCTGCAAAAGAATTTAAAACGTAGCCTCATATTTGCTAGAAAGAAGTCAATGGAAACCAGTTAGAGATGCCACTTTACGTCCTCTGTAGAAAGCACATCCACCTGCAACTCAAGGAGGCCAGAAGCTGCCGACCAGGTCTGCCCTGATTAGACTAACGGCACCCTTTGACTTCACACTCTGTCTTCTCAATAGCCTCTCTCTCTCTCTTTCAGGACTTATGGTTACTTATTCCTCAGGCTCTGACATGGAACTGTCTCCTCCTTCCTGGCCCAGCAGTTTTTGGTGCAAGGATTGTTTTCTTGTGGCTTGACCCCTAGTACACCTGGGGTACATACTTAGGCATCTGGGAGCTTGTTCTCATCTTTAGCCCAAACCTAGAGTGGCGAGTGCTAAATAAACAGAATGACCAGATCTTGAAAATATAACAAGCCATTGACACAAAACATGATTGACAGCATGAGCAAAATAAAGATACAAAATGTGTCACCTGATGGGCCAGAATATAGATATTGTGTCCAACATCTTTTGGGGAAACACCATCATCTCCACCTTCATTACCCCCGTGATCGCATTCAAATCCTTGGTTGTAGGCGTTCTTCATTACATCCACCTATCAAAAAAAAAGGGGACAAACAAGGTTTGAAATGCCACAAACAACACACATTTTACATTGTTTATGAGGTATAATTAAAAATTGGGAAGCTTCATGAAGACTCTAAGTGAAAATGGCCTTGAAAACCATCTTCACTTAAATTACTATGAAAGTATTCCCTGTTTTCCTTCAAAAATTGTGCTTTGATTTTTGAATGTTGACAGAAAGTTCCCAGAAATTAGGAGAATCTGGAACCTTAATAAGCATCCATTATTCCTTAAGAATTCACTAGGTAACAAGCACACATGGTGCTGGACACTGAACTGGGCACTGAGGATCAGCTGTGGCTATGACAGCTTATCTACCCTCGGGGAACTTACCGTCCAGTGGAAAAGCCAGGGAGTGAAGAGGCAAACACAGCAGGGTGTAGCCAGCCCTAGAGCAGGGCGAAGTGTGCGGCACTGAGGAAGTACAGGGCAGAGCCACGGGTTGAGGGTGGGCCACAGACAGGTGGCGGACGATGGGCTAAAGGTGTTGTCAGCAGAGGAACTAGTGTATTGGACAGTGCTGTTGCTAAATAAGCACGTAATTCACTGCCCCATTTAGCCATAGGACAGGGAACGTGTTGCTCCTATTAACCCACGGCTTGCAGATACTAGGCTCTCATTACACATACGACGTTAAATCACACCGCATCTTCTCTCCTCTGTACCTGCCCTCCTGACTCCTTTCTTTACTAGTAAAGTGAGAGCAAGAGAGCGCAGCACCAGGACTTCTCCATAGCACCAACAAAGGCGCTGGCGGGAGTGGGACTTAGTCACAGAGGCACTGAGCTTTATGGTTTGAGTGCATTCTCAATGCTTTCGAAACCCAATGCTTTTTAAAAGTGCCTACATTAGTTCATAATTACATGCCGTAAGTGAGAAGGAAAACATAACTTCTGCAATAGGAAGACATACTAATGATCTCTGGAATCTCCATCAAGCCTCTGCACAGTTTCCTCTAGGCCAAGCACTGTGCAACATTACACTGATAAGAACAACTACAAAAAATATTGATTTTATTTTTATTTTTCAGAAAGAGCTATAAATACAATTTTTGAGGAGCACGAACATTTTGTACATACCTTCCTTATACACTCCAATACGCTATTAAACTAAAGCCAACTCTTTTTTTTCCTGGCAAAATGTATTTGCGTATAGTTTAGTACAGTACAACAATTTGGTTAAGAAAAATGCTTGGAGTGGATAAAACTAATAAATTCATAAGGACCAAGTTACACAGGCCTTTGCCATCACAGGGCCTTCTGAGGTACTTGCAGAGGTTGGTCATGCTGCTCCATTACACCGTGGTAGAGCAGTGAAAGTCACCAGACTTTTTTTCTGACATGCATGCTATAAATTTGTCCCTTTTAGGCTATACATTATTAACACAGCCTTGAAAAGTTTTCTTACCAGTTCCCTGGGTCTCATGTTAAAGAGAATTCTTTCCGCATTCTCGCTGTCATGTCTGCTTTCCATAATAGCCAGCAAAAGCTTGGAGGCGTTATTCTAGAGACACAGATTGAGTTAATGCACATGCAAAGTCTATTTCATGGACTAATGATCTCCTGCATTTGTTTTAATTGAGATTACCAGGACCATTTTTTTTTTAATCAAACAGAATTTAAAACTGCTAATTTCTTTTGTCTTATTAACATTTTAAAATAGAATGTTTTACTTCATTGTCAACACAAAATAAAACTAATGAATCATGAGAGATGTTACAAGGGAAATTATAAATATTGGTGAAAAGGTGTTTTAAGGGCCGGCCCGGTGGTGCACTGCCACAGTGCGCTGCTTGGGAGCGCGGCGGCACTCCCGCCAAGAGTTCGGATCCCACATACAGACCGGTTCCCGCTCACTGGCTGAGCGAGGTGCGGACACGACACTGAGGGTTGCGATCCCGTTGCCGGTCCTGGTCCGGTACGGGCGCGACACTGAGGGTTGCGATCCATTGCCGGTCACGAAAAAAGACAAAAAGGAAAAAAAAAAAAAGGTGTTTTAAATGCAAACTTGACTTACTATATACTTCATTATTTCCTAAATACGCATTTCTACAATGATATTCTAACAAGACAATAAGATGAACAGGTATCAATAACATATTTTACAGAAATGGTATATAATTTAAAGAATTTAACACAATTGTTTTTTTTTTTTCCTTTTTGTCTTTTTTACTGACCAGAAATGGGATCGCAACCCTCGGTGTTGCGCCCGCACCACGCTCAGCCATTGAGCGGGAACCGGTCTCCACATGGGATCCGAACCCTCGGCGGGAGCGCCGCCGCACTCCCAAGCAGCGCACTCTCCAGTGCGCCACCAGGCCGGCCCGTACACAATTGTTTTTTAAATGAAGTATTAATATATATCAGTAAATCAAAATTTTAAGTAAATTTGAGCAATAATAAGTGAGAATTAATCTATAAATTAATCTTTAAATTCATGAGTTAGAAATATAATATGAATTTATTGATAATGGTTTATTAGTCTCACTATACAGCAGTATATGTATACACAACATGTTTACTACCTGAGTTATAAATGAATAATATTTTATATTTTTGCTTAATACAGAATGAAAATAGCATATGTTGTCTTTAATGTGCTCTAATTTTTACTTCTAGGTATCAAAAATGTTTCTGATATAAGTTATAATTCAAATAGATACCACGAAGTTACAGAAAGTCCTGTCACAAAGAGTACAATAACCCAAGTATTTTGAAAGATGTTTCTTTACACTGTGTTTTCAATAGCACTGCCACAGATTTTTGGTAAATTTCAAGATGATAAAAAATACCAAGGAGATATTTGTACAGTGTTTTTGTAATATTCACGTAGATTAAAATATTAACCTCCCTACACAGTCTTTGCTAGAAGTACAAAAGTGGAGTCACATGGCTTTAAGACACTTCTGAGTGACTCAAAGTTAACATCACACAGAATGAAAAATTAAATAAAATCATTATTCGGTCTAGGTAGATAATCAGCACATGAATTTTGTTAAGGTTGTGCAAATTAATTCTACTGAGTAGTTTTAATATCAAATTCTACCCAACTATTTTTTTTTTCTCAGAAGTACAGCCTAAGAGTCATTTTTAGGTGACTAACATTAGTAACAATGACGATAATGATGACACCAATGTCACTGATCCATGACAAAAAAATTTTAGTACTTTTGGAGGTTAGTATTATTTTCTTCTGCTCCATTTTCATTTTTTGCAAATTTGTACTAATACTAAAATCCACTTTTACAATCTAGTATCTCGTATAAACAACATACCTAAAAAACAAGTTTTCAAGATTAATGGAGAGCTTAAGTCCTTAGAATGATCTGAACAGACCCCACAGAGTGTTCTCTAATGATCCACACTCAGCAGGACCAATATATGATAGCTTAAAAATATCCAATTTCAGAATGCTACTGACAATATGGTATTTTTTCTAACCCACCTTCTTTTTCATACTATGTAAGCAGAATAGAAATCTTGTAAATGACCTACTGAAATCAGAATCAATTTGAAAGTACAAGAGCCTATATATGTATATATATATGTGTGTGTGTGTGTATTTAGTGTGTATGTTTATATATACATGTATATATACACACACACTAAAAAACCAAATGAAAGTGTCAGTGTTAATACGGTATTTTCTTCCAAAGAAAGCCAGATTCTTTAAAATAAAACAAAGCAAAACAAAAAAACCCCTACCTATTAACAAATTCAGTACTTAATATTCATTCACAAATCAGTTATGAAAATGAAAATAAAAAGTAGAGGACAAGACATACATATGAAAATTTCATAAAATCTAATACTAAATAAGCATACAGAGTTAAGTACAGTTAAAATTATGGATAATTAAGTAATCAAGTTCATGAGTGAATGATGTAAAATAAAACCTTGATATTTTTAATATGGCACTTCTGTAACATAACAGAATTTACTATTTTAAACATCCTACTCATGAAAGCCCCCAAATTTCCCAATATATATCATTCAGTCTTATAAACAATTGTTCTCATATTAGCCAATATATACAAACCTCATAGACAGTTTAGAAAGTTACAATCACCTTCATTCTTTAAGTAAAAAAACTATACTTAAAATATTTCAAGTCAAATTCATACATTTCTATTTTAGACACAGCTTGATTTATCCAACTGTCATATTTTTAAAAGGTATAAATAAATTGTTTATTAAAATAAATAAAAATTTAAATGATCTTTTTAATAAAAGCATTTTATTTGAATAGCTAAGAATATCTTTTATACTCTTAAGTCATCCCCATCATTTAGTTTTTTTACATAGGTCTGAATTTGTAAATGATCTGTATGCCTACTTAGGTTTAAGTTGTTGAGTCATTCAGTAGTTCCCCCATTAAATTATATTAATTAAAAATGACATTTAAAGGTATAGTCTTTAGACGAATTAAGGATTTAAAAAGCCAAAGGCCAAGGCCTCTATGTGCTGTTACTTAACTATTTATGATCATGATCAAATTAAGATAAAATAATAATATTTCTAGTAACTCAAATTAACCTGACCGTCATATAGGCCTAGGCTAGTTTCACTAACTGAAGCATGATGCTAGTGAGGAAAAGGGCACAAAAATAGTCTACATAAGGATCACCTTCATCCTAATCTATGAATGGAAGAACCCAAAGCTAATACATAATACAAATAAAAACAATGAAAAAATACAAACTCATCTCATCTTTTAAAAGAAGCATTTGCTTACAAAGTGGCTTTAGCAAAATCATCACATAAATAGGACATTAAGTACATTACATTGTATACCTAAATCTACATTTAAAAACAGAATTACAAAAATATCATTCCTATTCTTCTTGGCCATAAATATACCCATATACAGTTGAATTTAATTATATAATATCTATGATTGGATAGGCCTGGCCTTATACAGAAATTCTATTTAAGTAATGATTTCTTTTTCACCTGCTTAACACTAAACACAATAATGTGGTCTTTAATAAGTCATCACAATTGAATATCATGCCTTAGCATTTGGGATTTATATAGTTTCTTGTGTATATTCACTTGTCTATTTCCATTTGAACAAATAATTCAAAAAGAAATCTCAAAAAAAACGTGCTCCTGAGCAATGGAACTTATAAGAAGTATATACAAAGCTTGAATAAAAGAAACCTCTTAAAGGAGTATAATATGACTTAATGTATTTTGGGAAGGAAAATAAGATTCTAATGCAAAAGAGAACAACTTTTAGCTAGAAAAGAGCCATACAACTAAAATGCAGTGCCCCTACTAGATGGAATTCTGTGGTCAATGTGAATTAAGAATGTATAGTATAGTGAATGTTCAGCACCTTTTGCTTCTCTATGTAATGAAAAATATAAAATAAAAACAAAACAGAAGTAGTGAAACAAAGTGGCGGCTTGAAAAAACGTCCAATAAAGTACCCTGCAGTTGACCATTACCTCAAAGCTAATTTCACATTGTACTGAAAATTTAGCAAACACTGCACTTTCACTATCCCTTTTTGTCAATTCGTTAGTTGAAAATATAATATCTTGCTTTCACAAGAGTCACTTGAAGATTTAGAATCAACTCTGAAAGGGAGTTTTATATAGAGACTCTAACTTTCCCCACCCACATAGTGGATTTACTCTACCTTTAGTTGGAGCACCAGGTCCATTCGGTATTTACCAAGAGGGTTGATATCATTTAGAATCAAAGCAATGATGATGTCAATTCCATTAGATTCATGAGTAGCAATACAGGTCTAGAAAACAAAAGATGTACAAAATAACATTCTATTTACAACGTAATAGTGCTAGAAATAATAGGACATTAAAAAAGAAAAAAGGAAACAAAACAGAATCACCTTAGTTTTTTACCTTGAAAACATAATTAAAATTTAACTTTGAGAATTTGACTTATTCTTTTGTGCAGAGAGTCTGACCATTAATTGATTAGTATTAGTTAAGTGGCTTTGTATACACAACACTGAGAGAGACACTGTGTGAAGCATGTATCTTTTAAAATAAGCCATTTTTTACAGAATTTCAAAGACCACTGGTTACGTTAAATACAGTCAATAAATTTTGATATTCCCATCAATAGAGGAGCTCCTTAAACTTAGAATTTTATGATCTGACTTATCCTAAGAAAATATTACCATTTATGAAAGAGGCATATCCCTTACACCCAAGATTGTAAGTAAATTTTACAGAACTGATGTAGCATTTTAATTTAGTTGCTACTTAATACTAAATTGGTGACAAGAGATGCTGCTGCATGTGCTTGGTGCCAGCAGACAGGTGATATGGGAATCTATCAATGTTTTGGGGACACACTGTCAATGACGGCGGTCAAGGCAAAAGTTCAGCAGATTTCTTAAACGTGGGTGAGTTACAAAGAGACCTTGATAGGGAAAAAACTTAAAAAACATCCTGAGAGATAAATATCCATATTTTAAAGGTTAAGATCTGCTGTGCTAGGGTTCTGAATTTAATTTTACAGAACAGAAAACCAGGAGCTTGTGGGCTAGATCTGTGGGACTATGTGTTACAACGCAGCACCTTATTAAAGGGTTTGAAAACTGAAAACCTGGTGAGTCAAATGAGAAAGAATAAAACAGAAGCAACTCTGAAATAACTGCTGTTTCAACATGGGCTTCGTCACTCCCTTTATACAAGAAAATATTTACTCCCCTGACACAGGGGGAAGGTGTTTTCCATCCACCTTGTGCATTTCCTGAGGTTCTTCTGCTCATTAAAATGTTTGCCGAACTTAAAGGAAATCTATTTGCAGATCATCTCTAGAATTTGCTGGCAACCTTCTTTCCTTCCACACATTTTCAGAGCATTGAAAATTATATGTGGGGTTCATGTTATTTTATTATTAGTTTTGACTTTTAGAGCTTATTTGGTTTTAGTAAATTACTTTCAAAACTCAATTCCATTCTTTTGAGACCAAAAGTGGGAACATTCTTACAGGCTTTCCATGAAATTGTAAAAGACAAATGGCATATATTTTCTTTTCTTTTTTTAAAATGAGCACACTTATTTAAAGAGGAGGATGTAACAATGAGATTAATACTGGCACATAATTAAACAGTTGTCCAAGAGAAAAAAGAAGAGGTTTCCTCACAGTGTGGTGCTGGGTTTTTAAGAGCAGTTTTTAAGTTTTAAGGATTTTCGGTGTCCCTATCACCACTGCAGATGTCCCCTGCCCCTGTCCTCCTTGTTTGAAAACTCAGCAGAATGCAGAGACAAAGCTGGCTTTTGTCCCCTTTTCCTTCGGGGTGCCTTCCCAGTGTCTGGTTTCTCACATTCAGGAGGCTGTCGGTAAGTGCCTGATGTTGTATTAAGGACTGAAGATATGGCATACATTTTCTATTATAGATATGTATGGTTTTATCAATGACAAAACTAAATCTCTGAATTTGTATATTTTTCCTTAACTTTAAATCAACAGTTAGGTTTTCTTGTATTGTTGCCCTAGGAGGCTGAAATGTAAACCAGAAAAATACAGGGCAAAATCCACAAACCCTTTTAGTGTGTCAGACATACATTACAAAAGGGAAAATGAATCCCCATATGAATTATTTATGTCAGTCACTATCATGTTGTTTTATGTGCCTATGTATGTATGTATAAATTTGTGTATGCATAGTCACTATATATGTGTGTGTACATATCTTATAATTTCCAATAGACATGCAAACTTCTTGTTGCAACATTTCTATATCAACCATTGACATTTGGTCTCAATGGTTTTTTTAAAGTTCATTTCCACAAATGTTTGTGATTTGAAAACTCTTTCTCCAAGGGTGGATCCATGCTTATGATGATAGCTCCACATGCTTGAGTGGATGCTAAACAGTCGATCAGTACACTTCAGGGTGTCTCCCCTTCCCTTTACTGACCCATGTGTTCTCTCTTCCATACCCACAATGTGCCCTTGATATCCAAGAAAATGGAATCAGAGACAAACACTCAGGAAAAGAGGGCTGAAACTGTCCCACAACATGTAATATATGGTGTAATATCAAAAGAGCATTCTATTTAGACTCAGACTCAAAAGTCCTGAGTTTTAAGAATGGCTCTACAACTTCTGATTCTGTCACTCTGAGACACTGGAAAGTCACTTAATCTCTGAGTCAGAAGGAGCAATAATACCTACATCATAAGTTTACTGTGCATCTAAAAGAGAGAATATACACTAGCCACT